ATCGCGCAATTTTTCCACCTTGATCCTGCCGATTTCCATTTTGTCGACACTTAACCGTACAGTGTTCTTCCCACACTAAATACACTTTTCGTATTTTACCGTGCGTTCACAAAGAAACACTTCCGTATAATGTTTCAAGGTACTATCGCGCTGATTTAATACAAATCACTATCACCTTCACGTTCAATGCTGCCTGGGCCCATAACCTGTTATGATTAGGAAGTCTTTATTGAACAAAAGTAAGTATCGCTCGGCTGCTCGGAAGGAACTAACTTGTCTCCGCAGCCGTGTCGTCAAGCGCGGCGAAGTAACACCCAAATAAACAAAAGAAAGGGCCGCACGCCTGACGCTCTCGCGTCCTATGAATCAACGCACGCATGCGATGTGCGCCTTTATTGTTACCACAACATTTTTCAATGCTTATAACTGACAAACGAAGAATTTTTTGCAATTTCGTTATTCTTCATTTTCGTCTTATTTTGCCTCAAAGAATCACCCCTTAAATTTTTTCTCACTAGTTGTCAAACACCCTAGATATGGAATATGTGTTTCTTTAAAGATCAAAAGTAAATTCACTAAAGGTAAAGAAATCACGATCACGAACGTAAATGAAGTTAAATCACGACCATGGTCGTGATTCTGCGATCACTGTTATAAATCATTGTTAATGATTTTGCACACCATTTATACTGCCCAGCGAGCCCGGCTAGTGCGTCATATTACAAAGGTGAGGAGGGGGAAAAACGGTTGCCTCCTTCGCGTTGAAGCGTAGCGTACTCGCGGATAATGATGCCAGAATCGTGGTACTGTTTATCCCCACCACTCTCCCACTCCGACGTACCATCCTCTCCCACTATGACGTCCCGGCTACCCCCACTTTACGTCCACCGTGCTGGCACACACAAGCATATCCCAGCCCTGTCCGTGTGCGCTGGCCGTTCGAGGGACGGTGAGCCAGTGATGCCAAAATCGTGGGATTTTCGCGCGAGCGCATACCCTCTCCATGCATCCCGTGGGTATTCTACACAAGCATATTCTACCTCTCTCCGTGTGCGCTCTGCTTCGGGTGTTCTCGGCAAAAGTCTACGTCACGCGTTTACGACGCGACGGCCGAGTGGCCCAAGCCAGGTCAAAAATCCCAAATCCCAAGCAACCTAAAGTTTACGTCCTAAACGCGGAGAGCTGCATGATTTCTCTCACGCGCTCATGATGAAGACCCCGTCCGAAAGCCCGTCCGAAACCCCGTTCGTACCCCGATGCGACGGTTTTACTTTTTATTTTTAATTATTGCATAATTTCATTTTGTAATATGTCAGTAAAACAAAAACTTCGAAGATATTGATTTAAGAAGCATTTAAAAAAATGGGAGATGTATTTATTCCTCTTCAATATTTAAATTTTATATTACACAATTACATATTCTGTTATATATACACAAATTATTCGTACAATTAGATGTTACCTTCATTCTAATTATTACAGTACATATATGAAAACAACCCCTTTTAAATAATTGGACAATAATGTATTCGGCGCGCGTATAATTGCACCTAATTCAAAGTCCCTTTACGTTAAAATGGTTTCTAAAAATTCAATACCGTCCTACTTTCCGGTAATAAAGACATTTCCAAATTATGTGTTACAATGAGCCACCGTGCAGTCTCGTTATTGCCTCCATTTACGATAGGGTTTCCCGCGTTGCGGTTAGATACGTCTCACCCTAAGTACCTGCTCATATACGCGCGTCATGGTCATATTCGGTAGTGGTACTATTATTTCAATTGCGGTTCACACTATGTGTATACTTCTTTTCAGACATAGAAAAGTAAAGGACTACCAACATCACATGTGCGTGGACCTACTGCAACGGTTCTCAGAAACGCGAAATATATCATTGATACAAAAATCGAATTTTGAAAATGCTTCTCAAATTAATATCTTCGAAGCTGTTATTTTACTGACATATTACAAAGTAAAATTATACAATAATTAAAAATAAAAACTAAAACGGTCGCATCGGGATATGAGCGGGGTCTTCATCATGAACGAGCGTGTGAGAGAAACCATTCTGCTCTCGGCGTCGGTCCTTTACTTTTCCATATCTGAAAAGAAGTACATATGCACATAGTTTAAACCACAATTGGAATAATAGTACTACTACCAAATATGACAATGAAGCGTTTCTCAAATTAATATCTTCCAAGCTTTCATTTTACTGTACGTAACATATTAATGTGATGGATTTTTCTTCCAATGTTTTCATATGTATGTACTGCAATAGTTAGTATGAAGGTAACATCTAATTCTAAGAATAATTTGTCTATAGTATATGTTAGCGTCAATTCTTTTATGAAAGGAGAGGCACGCGGTGTCGGCTTCTTGAGAAGAAATTGTATCGTCAATAGCCGGAATCTTAAACATATCATCGGTGTTTAGATTCGGTGGCGGCACGAGTGGCGATATATTGTTGATTTCTCGCGGTCTCGGAGTCCGGGTGTTCCGTGATGGCAAAGGGCCCGACGCTTAATTGTCGGTTGCCGGTTGCTATCGAGGCCCGTGTGATAAAAGATTTTAAATAAAGGATCTGGCCACAGAGTGGGAAGAGTTGGGGGGACTCTCTGGCAAGAGGACTGTGTCAAGGGACACGGCATTTACCCCAGAACCTCGAAAGAGATCGGAGTCAAGTTTGATACAAAATATTTCTAACATCAGAAGTGGGATACGAAGACAATGAAATTAAAGCCTATAGTTTTATTGTTTTATTCTTCTGTCGTACCCGTTACAGTGGAAAATGTGAGAAGTGAAACCGCCGCGCCTACGCTGGAAAATTTGTTTACCCGCTTTCTAGAAACTGTTGCTAGTGGATCGGTAGCTGCTTCGGGGCCCATGACGTCTAATTCTTTTGTGGAAGCGGTGCCTGAGTTTAGTGGATGTGATATAGGCGAAGACGCTAAAAAGTGATGTGATATCGTTGAGTGTATTACCGAAAAACTTTCTGTTACTCAGAGGTGAGTCTCGCTACCCATACTTTGACGGGACCTGCTAAAAAATGGTATAAAGACTGGGAGGACATTCCCAATTATGAAAATCTGTGTGTGAAGAAGGTGGATGGAGAGAAAAGGCTGCTACATTTCCCGTCAGGACATAGAGTCATCATAGAGAGGTCAAAACCGACCTGCAATATGATCGAAACGCTATCGCAGGACACGGGTCGATCGTTGGAAGGTTTGTTGGAGAAATATCCCTGTATGATGGAGGACGGGGGTAATCTTCGACCTGTAAGTACGGGAGCATTAAAAATTGTATTAAAAGAAGATAAAACCGTGAGATATCAGCCATATCGTTTGTCGTTTGCTCAAAGTGCTGAGGTGCGTAAAATTATTACCGAATTAATGTCTGGCGGCATCATACGAGAAAGTGTCTCACCTTTCGCGAGTCCTATTATTTTAATACCTAAAGTGAACGGTGGTACTCGAATGTGTGTAGACTATCGCGGCTTAAACAAAATTACTATTAAAGATAGGTACCCTTTGCCTCTAATTGACGATCAATTGAATCGGTTGGGGCATGGACAATACTTCACCACGTTGGATATGGTCTCTGGTTTCCATCAGATACTAATTGCCCCTGACTCTATAGAAAAGACCGCGTTCGTTTCGCCTGACGGTCAGTACGAATATCTTCGTATGCCGTTTGGACTGGATTTTCTATAGCAGTAGTCTATATAGATGACATTATTATCCCTTCCAAGACTGTAGAGGAAGGGCTGGAACATTTAGACCGTGTATTATGTGCATTGGATAAGGCGGGTTTTTCACTAAATATTGATAAATGTAAATTTTTTCAAACGACCATAGACTATTTGGGGCGTGAAATATCTTCCGAAGGTATACGACCAGGGAAGCGCAAGATTAAAGCCTTGATCGATTCGCCTGTTCCTACTGATGTCAAGCAAGTTCGGCAATTTATGGGGCTTGCCAGTTATTTTCGAAAATTTATACCGGAATTTGCAAGTCGGACGGCATGTATTACGAAGCTGACCAGAAACAGTGTTCCCTGGGGCTGGGGTCGTGAGCAGGACGAATCGCGTCAATACGTCATTGATTGTTTAGTATCACAGCCGTTATTAGTTATTTTTGACCCAAGTAGGGAAACTGAATTACACACTGATGCTAGCTCTCTCGGTTACGGAGGAATATTGTTTCAAAGAATAAGCGGTGTTTTAAAAGTTTTTTTGTTTTTCCTCGAGTCTTTGCAATTTGTCCAGGTGTGAACATTCGGCAAGTTGGTTTAGTGGTTTTGTGATAGTAGCACGTAGACATTTGTCCCATTGGAGAAACGTCGGTGATAATTGCTTTTTGTAGCTGTGAAGTTTTCTCTTCATTCAGAGTAGCAGATCCATCGGGTGTTTTCTCCGTAGTAGTCTTCTAGGTTGATCCGTTGAGTAGAGTTCCTTGGCTGTAGTATTGGGATGTTGCTCCAGTCTGGTTTTGTAGTTTCTGCACAGCCTCGTTATTTCATCAGAGACCGGTGTTATATTTAAGTCTTTACGAATTTCGTCATTACGGACGTACCATGGAGCATTAACAATTGTTCTGAGAACTATGGATTGTAATGATTTAATCTTCGCTTTGGCAGCCATGCCCCAAAGTTGAATTCCATATTCCCAGATAGGTTTTATGATTGTTTTATATATTAGTAGTTTATTTTCGGGTGATAACTTAGAATGTTTGTTGGTGAGTCATTGCACTTCCCTCCTTTTAATTCTAATTTGTTCTATTTTTTTCTTTATGTGTTGTTTCCAGGTGAGTTTGGAGTCTAGATGTAATCCTAAGTATTTGATTGCTTTAGTTTGTGGTATAATGTGTTGATTTAGTATGATAGGTGGTGTAATGTCTTTTCTTAATGTGAGAGTGATATGATTGCGTTTTTCGGTATTTACAGTTATTTTCCAGTGATTTAGCCACCGTTCGAGTGTATGTTTGTGCTTTTGTAACGTTTTAGAAGGTATTTTTGGGGTCATCGTGTGTAGTTAATATGGCTGTGTCGTCAGCAAATGTGAGTAATGTGGTATCTGTTGTAGTGGGGATATCAGCTGTATAAAGGGTGTAAAGTGTGGGCCCCATTAAACTGCCTTGAGGAACGCCACCCTTGATTTTGTAGATATCAGAGGTACTATCCTGAATTTTGACATAGTATGTTCTGTCCTCTAGATATGATTTTATTAATTGGTATAAGGCAATGGGAAATTTTAGTTTTATCTTATATAATAAACCTTCATCCCAAACTTTATCAAAAGCTTTCTCTATATCCAGAAATATGGCGGTGCAGTATTGTTTTTGTTCTAGGGCTTCAGTAATCATGTTTGTGAGTCGGTGTACTTGTTCGATCGTAGCGTGTTTTTTTTTAAAGCCAAACTGGTGTGTTGGGATTAAGCTTTTTTGTGTGATGATTTCCTGCATCCTATTTAGTATTATTCTCTCCAATATTTTAGACATTATTGGGAGTAGTGAAATTGGTCTGTACGATGTAGCTAGGTGGACGTCTTTCTTGGGTTTTTGTATCATGCTTATTTAGCTAGTTTCCAATTAGTAGGGAAATGTTTGATTCTGATTATCGCGTTGAATATGATTGTTAACATCCTGACGGCTTTTGGTGGAAGCTCCTTTATAATTTTTCCGTTGATTAAGTCGAAACCTGGGGTCTTTCTAATTTTAATATTTTCGATGATTTTATTGACTTCTTTTACTGTGGTCCTTTTAATGTCTTGTGGGTCTTCAGACGTTGTTTCAGTGTGTAGTGTGTTTGTTGTGTTATTTAAGGGAGAGTTATTTCTTTTGTTAATTTGAAAAGTTTTATACAGGTGTTCGGCAAAGGTTGTAGCTTTATCCTGTGCACTTTTTGCCCAAGTATTATCAGTCTTTTTTATAGATCGTAGTGATAATGTGGGCCTTTTCAGTCTCTTAGTGGCTTGCCACAGGGAGTAGTTTGTGTCGTCGTCGGCCGAGAGTTTAGAAATGTACAAATGGAATTTTTCGTTACAATAATTTTGTATTAGTCGTTTGACTTCTTTGGTAATTGAGTTTAATTTTGTTTTATTGTATGTAGTTTTTTGCTTTTGCCAGTTTCTTTTTAATTTACGTTTTTGTTTGATTTTCATCGTAATATGTTCCGGGTAGGAATTAATGTATTGTTTGTTTGCGTTATGTCCCGTAGCATTCCATCCTGCTTCCTGTATCAGAGTAGTAAATTTATTTACTACGCATTCTATTTCTGCCGAGTTTTTTCAGCTTACATGACAATCCAAGTTTTTGTTTAGATATTGTTTGAAGAGTAGCCAGTCTGTGGTGCTGTTGCAGAGAGATGGTGTTTTTGTAATGTTTACGGGTATGCCTGTGTATTTTAGAATAATCGGAGTGTGGTCGGAGCTGAGGTCGAGACTTGATTTAATTTCAAAGTATGTCTGGTTTATGCCTTTGATTACAGCGAAATCTATTAAGTCGGGTGTTTTGTCACGTGCTGTTGGCCAGTATGTTGGTTCGCCTGTCGATAGAACATTTAGGTGTGATTTTCGGATCGCTTGCTCGAGTGTTTTACCTCTTGGTGAGATTGTTTTGGATCTCCATAGCTTCTGTTTGGCGTTATAGTCTCCTCCAACGAGAAATCTGTTCCCCAGTGACTTAAAAAATTCTGAGTAATGTTCCACTGTTATCTTGTGTTTGGGAGGAAAGTATACAGCTGATAAATTTATTGGTCCGTTGGTGGTTTCAATGTTTACCGTAGTTGCTTGCAAGTATATGTGTTTCGTGGTACTGTGAAGATGATGTTTGATGTTGTTTTTAATAATTACTGCGGATCCGCCGTGTCCTTTACCAGACGGATGTTTGGTATCGTACAGCGTATAGTACGGAAGCTTTATATAGTGTTTCTCTGTTAGGTGTGTTTCAGAAATTAGGATGACATCGATATTATTGGTTTGAAGGAATAGTTTTAACTTCTGGGTCCTCTGCTGCAGACCATTGGCATTCCAGATTACGATTTTTAGTTCGTTAGCCATTTTTATTTTTTATTGTTAGATATCATGTTGGTTAGTAGTTGTATCATAGCGTTTATTTGTTGGGTCTGTTGTTGTAATAACTTGGTTTGTTCTAGGAGCATGTTAGCTATAAGTTCCGTATTTTTAGTTGATTGTATAAGTAGATTTTTGATTTCCGAGGTTTCATTGTCTGTGTCATTGTTTTGATTCGGGAGGTAAGATTGACTTTGTATTTGTGGCGATAGTGCTTGGGCGTAGCTTTTATTAGTTGTATTTATCTGTCGGGTTTTATCATTATTGTTGTGATTCGAGATGTGGTTTTGTGTAGTGTTTTTCGAGTTATTGTCTATTGCTCTTTGCCTAAGGGCGGGATACATTTTCTGCTGGAGTTGTTTTCTTATGATACATCCTTTGTAACTGGCGAGATGATTGCCCTGGCAGTTAAAGCATTTCACATTTTCTATCTTACGTTACAAGGAGCAGTTTGAAGTTAAGTGCTTACCTGCACACTGCACGCACGCGGGGGTTTTGTTGCAATAGTTCCTTGTATGGTCGTAGGTTTGACATCGCATACACTGGGGGATGTCTCTTTTCTTTTTTAGTGGTTCAAAGGAGATTACAGTGTTTAGTAGCCGATCTATTTTATATATTTCCTTGTTGTTGTAAGGAATTTTCTGGAATTCACCAGATCATTGTAATAGCGGCGAGTATTTCATGTGTAACTCTTTTCATGGTATTACAGCGAATATTTCATGTGTAGCTCTTTTCATGGTATTACAAGATCTGGAGAATTCTCGAACCTTCGATTATGATATTATATAAAAACTCGGACAAACAACCGAGCGGGCATTCTGCGATTATCTGTGTCGATGAACGAATCTGTGAAACAAATATATATCTTTGTGTAAAAAGTCTGTACCAAACTTTATTTCTGCTGCCCTTCTTATTACAATTATCAGAAGTGGGATTAGTTTAAAATATTTACATATTTGAACTCGAATCAGTGCCGTGAAAATTTTGTTTGTATGTGAGATAGTAAATAGTGATCATGGCTGAAAGGGCACCGAATAGTTTTACCGTTTCTGTGTTGAAGAATTTACTACAGAATAGGAATATGTCCGTGAAAGGGAATAAGACTGAGCTTATTAATCGACTCAATAATTATGATTCAAACATTTGGAAGGATCTCACAGAAGAAGAGTGCAGTACAATAGGAAAGGAAACAACCGATTTTTGTGAAGAAATGGTTAATACCGAATCTCTGATTACGCCCGTCAATGAAAATCAACACGGTGTTGAGATCGACCTTCGAGAAATGGAAATGCTCAGAAGAGAACGAGATTTACTTGAAAGGGAAATGCGTTTGTTAAGACAAGAACAATTAATCATGCGATCTAGTCCTAGCATTAATACAGGTAATAGCAGTGCATTACCGACTGGCGTAAGTATTTCGATGATCAGTGAGATGGTAGGCGAATTCCATGGTCAGGGTGATAATTTTCAAAATTGGGAGAAACAGCTACATTTGCTTCGAGAAACTTATAAGTTGGATGACAACATAATGAGAATATTAATTAGCAGGAAAGTAAAGGCACAAGCACAGAACTGGTTTTTGTCAAAATCCGAGCATGTTGGGTTAGGATTTGAAGAACTT